AAGTTTGGAAGTTTGGAAGTTTGGAAGTTTGGAAGTTTGGAAGTTTGGAAGTTTGGAAGTTTGGAAGTTTGGAAGTTTGGAAGTTTGGAAGTTTGGAAGTTTGAAGGTTTGAAATTTTGAAGGTTTGAATGTTCGAAGGTTTGAAGGTTTGAAAGTTTGAAAGTTTGAAAGTTTAAAGGTTTGAAGGTTTGAAAGTTTGAAAGTTTGAAAGTTTGAAATTTTGAAAGCTTGAAAGTTTAAAGGTTCGAAGGCTCGAAGGTTCAAAGGCTCGAAAGCTAAAAAATTTCAGAACCTAAAGACCAAAAACTTGAAAACATAAAAACTAAAATCTATAAAATCCTTTTGACGTAACCCATAGAGAATCTCAGCTGCTTAAACACTATTTGAAGCATTTACTTCACCCAACTCATCTCTATCAGACACCAAGAGGCGCGGTGAATCAGTCGATCGTTCCATCATTGGCCCGCGAATCACGAAGATCGAGAGCGTCCGTTACAACGTGTCATCGTCGCAGAAACAAGATTGGGCCGAGCCTAAGCCCAGCGATGCGTCCCGAGGTAGCTTCCAGGATAAAGGAAACTGGAGTTTTTCCTCGAATAACGACGCAGTCCGGCCAAAAGCCGATCGCCCACGTGATCGACCCTCCACCCCAAGGATCCGGAAGATGGACAAGATCCCTTACGTGCCGTCCCCGATGACGAAGATCGATCGGACCGACCCGAACCCGGCCAGCAGCATGTTCTCCCCAGGCCATTACGACTACTCCGATAATAGCATCATGAGCTTCTGCGTGGACAATAATCTGGCCAGCCTGAAAGGTACATTGTTAGCTACCCGACTGTTGGTTGCTTCTTGTTCCTTGCGGTTCTCTTGTGCTTTTTGGTGCTACCAGCTTCTTTCTGCCGGCAGGCGACGATATATCTATCTACGGAGGATCCCGCGATTTTTGCGGGTGCTCCAATATGACGACGACGTCTGAGAATCGGGAAAGGGGAAAGGTCAAAGGGAACGAGGATTTGCCGGCTACTAACACATCTAGCCAGATTTCACGTAAATATGAGACTGTTTTGTAATTCTTCTGGGTGCTGGATGGCAATTTGTTCTTCTATTGCAGACTTCAGTTTTGCGGATATACTGAAGAACAACGATCGGAAGCTGTTCTGAACGTTGATTTTCATTGTTAATCATGGACCGAGGGTTGATACGAGTAAATGGAATTTTCATTTAATTTTGAACTGGGAAACTCTCAAGACAGCAAATCAAGTTTTGTTCGATATATTGTTAGTCTTTTGTTAAAAATAATATATTTGCATAGAGATCTTTAGTTTACTTGTAACGTCCTTTTCGTTTTTGACCGATTTTCTGTAATAATTTCCGAAGAAGATTGTCTTCTGATAATATAACCATAAGACTATGCAGAATTCTCTTTTTATGACAACGATAGCGAAGTTATCCGATATTTCTATGTAAATCGATCTATTCCCCGATACATGACAATAAAACGGTTGAAACTTCAAGGAGAGAGGACTTTAAACATTTCCATATCACGTCTCGTTTTCACCGGTGTCTCCATAGCTCGCGCGAGCACCTCCCGCTCGCGGGGATCCCCGTCGCTTCCTAACGCAATCGTTCGTCCCCGCTTGAGCGGCAGCTACGCGACGCGCGGTGAATAATATTCGAGCGAAATTACGCGTGCTCCGCGAGACCCGCCGTAATTTCCACCCCTAGAGCCGTATGAAAGGCATCGGGCTCGCCCGCTTCCGTAAGAAACCGGGAAAAGGAAGCGCGAGACTCGCGTAAGAGAGGCAGAGAGAGAAAAAACGAAGAAATAGCGAGGAAAAACGAAGAAATAGAGGAAGAGGACGAGGAGACGAATTATAAGAGGGAGGAGAGTCGCGAGGAATAGAAGCAGCGCAGAGGGAGGGAAAGCGAGAAATTCTGAAGAAACAGATGGAAAAAGAGGAGAATCAGAGGCAAAGAAATAGAGAAAGTAAAGAGAGTAAAAAGCCAAGAGGTATAGAGAGTAACAGATAGAAAAGGAGAAAAACGAGGAAATGTAAGGAGCAGCGGGAAAAGCGAGAAAAAATGAA